TGGTTGCCCAACACTCCGTCCCATACAACATCTCTGGTCTAATAGCCATTCTTTAGAACTTGCCTTTAAGTCTAGTGGGTATTCGTTTATCGCACAGTACCCCAAACGCACTTCTCCACTTACACCATCCCGCCTTAATCCTATGGGCCACATTCGCATCGATCTCCTCCACTGTTGTGATAATCGACCCTAAATAACGAAAATGTTCACTCTTAGGCAGTTCTTGGTTCTCAATCTTCACTTATCCTCTGCTTTCATTGTTATTGTTACTAAATTTACACTCCATGAACTCTATCTTAGTTCTACTTATCCGGAATCCTTTAAATTCAAGAGTTTTTCTCCAAATCTCCAGCTTTGTATTAACTCCTTCTCTAATCTCATCTACTAACACTATATCGTCTGCAAAAAGCATACACCATGGCACGTCATTCTGGATATTTCTCGTCAACCCATTCATAACTAAAGCAAAAAGATAAGGACTTAAGGTAGATCCTTGGTGTAACCCTACGATGATAGGAAATTCATTTGTCTCTTCAGCAAGCGATCTAATAGTGGTCAGCACCCCTTCATACATGTCCCTAATCACATCAATGTAACCGTTTGTCACCCCTTTCTTTGTTAACACCCACCATATTATATCCTGGGACACTCTATCATATGCTTTCTCAAGGTCGATAAACACCATATGAATGTCTCTTTTCTTTTCTTTATACTTTTCTATTACTCTCCTCAAAAGATAGATCCCTTCTATTGTTGACCTGTCAGGCATAAACCCAAACTGATTCTCTGACACCTCCATTATATCTCGCAATCGGCGTTCTATCACCGTCTTCCACACTTTCATTATATGACACATTAGCTTGATTCCTCCATAATTGTTGTGATTCTGGACATCTCCTTCATTCTTATAGATTGGCACTAAAATACTCTTCCTCCACTCATCTGGCATGTTCTTAGTTAACAAAATTTTGCTAAACAACCTAATTAACCAAGCAACCCCCGTTTTACCCAAACACTTCCAAGGTTCAATAGGAATATCATCTGGTCCTAAAGCCTTATTTGATTTCATCTTCTTAAGTGCAATCTCCACTTCAAAGTTCCTAATCCTGCGGTAGAACCTATAGTCTTGGTTTATCGTATTACTGGTTATTTCTTCTCCTATTGCCGTACCTCCATATTCCTCATTTAATAGTTTCTTAAAATAGATCTTCCATCTTTCCTTAATCCCTTCATCTCTCACCAATACCTTAGAATCCTCACTCTTGATGCACTTAACTTGATTAAAATCTCTTGTTTTCCTCTCCCGTATCTTAGCAAGTTTGTATACCCTCTTCTCTTCCTTCTTACTATCTAGTGTATAGGTCATTATAAGCTTTCAACTTAGCTTCTCTCACTACTTTCTTGACCTCCTTATTAGCCAGTCTATAACTCTTAAGGTTTTCCTCAATTCTATCCTTTTGTCACTTTTTAAAGCATTCTTTTTTTGCTTTAACTACCACTTGAACCTCTTCGCTCCACCACTAAGTTTCCTTAGAGCTGAGTCCCATTCCTTTTGACTCTCCAAGCACTTCCCTTGAGATTCTCCTCATACAATTGGCCATCGAGTTCCACATAGTGTTAGCATCATTTTCCAAACCCCAAGTACCTTCCTCATCCATTCTATTCTTAAATATTTCTAATTTATCCCCTTTCAGGTCCCACCATCTCGTTCTACGACGCCCACCATCCTTCCTAACTTGGTATTGCCCTCTAAAACATAAATCTAGTACCAAAATCCTATGTTGAGAAGTCAGGCTCTCTCCAGGAATCACCTTACAATTATTGCATTTTAGGCGGTCCACTTTTCTCACTAAGAAGTAATCTATTTGGCTCATAACTGACCCACTCTTAAAGGTTATCAAATGCTCTTCCCTCTTCTTATACATAGTATTGACCACCATCAGGTTAGAAGCCAACGCAAAATCTAAGATACTCTCTCCAATCCCATTTTTGTCACCAAAACCGTATCCACCATGCACCCTTTCATAGCCTAGTTTATCTACGCCTACATGGCCATTAAAATCTCCACCTATAACCAGGTTCTCTCCTACGGGTATCTCCTGTAAGATCTCATCCATTTGCTCCCAAAAGTCCCTCTTAGTCTGATCATCTAATCCTACTTGAGGGGCGTATGCACTAATAACGTTCACTATATTCCCTCCAATAACTAATTTAACTAACATAATCCTATCCCCTTTCCTAATAACCGCCACTACATTCTCTACAAGACCCTTGACAATTAAGATTCTTACCCCATTCCAACGTCTATCCTTACCACTATAATACAATTTAAAACCGGTATTCTCAATTCCCCTAGCTTTCTCACCCGTCCACTTAGTTTCTTGTACGCAAGCTATACTAACTCTCCTTCTAATCATAACATCTACCAACTCCATCGTCTTACCAGTTAAGGTTCCTATATTCCAAGTGGCTATCCCAAACCTATAGTCTTGGACTAGCTTCTTTATCCGCGCTCGTCCATGAGATACACACAAAATACTTAAAATTCAATATTCAAATTGCCAACAAATGAAACTATAAATAAATTCTAACTAAAACTATTAAGTTGGTATTTCTTTTCGGAAGTAATTTTGAATTGTGAATGAGGTGACACACTTCAAGTGGGTTCTTGCCTTCTAATTCTCCTAAGAGAAGCCAAATTAGATTTAAAAAAACAAAATAAAATAATTCTTGCATGTGTATTCTTATAGAACAAAAAGGGTATATATATACACTTACACTTACGATTGAGACTCTTAACCCCACTACTCACTCCACCTAATAACATCGAAATTACCACAAGATAAGCTCATCCACTCAACCACTAATATACATAATTGATAATACACATCCCACTTCACATTACAACACCCACAACCATCAACCCACATATACTAACTACCTACAAAATATTTATGCATGTCAATCTTATTTGCAAAATTGATGTCTTGATTTTGATCCACATCATCACAACATGGACCATCCAAAAGAAATCGAGACAACTTTTCACTGCAATTGTAGCAAAGGCATTGTTCCCTTCTTTGTTTTGCCTCTTTTGGCGTGAGATGTTTAATTGGAGAAATGGTGAACTTGGAGTTGCCATCATTAGGAGTAGAAATTAGGTTCTCATCCACACAAACCAAGCTTGAAGTTGCTAACTTCTCTTCTTGCAAGCAAGCTAGGCCAATTACTACAACTACGGATGTTAGATGCAACATTTGTACTTCAAATTGAATTTTATCTTTGAGCCCACAAACAAAAGAACTAATCAAGAAATACTTACGGAGACCATCTGCATAGTTGGCTAAATGTTCAAACTCACATTGATAATCCCTCATGGTTGTGGTTTATTGGAGCTTTAATAAGATACACGTTAGATCCTCAATTAAACTAGTGCCAAAAAGTGAATTGACAGTAGTAACTAGCATAGGCCATGTCAAATGGTGATGAAACTTGTCACACCACCAAAAACCAATTGAAGATCTTCACCCTGCATATGGAAAGAAGCAATGGTGAGGCGTTTGTCCACTGGGGTATGATGGTAGATGAATCATTGCTCAAATCTAGGGAAATCAAATCAAATTGCTCGTGTTTGGATACCTCCAATATTGTGACCTAACCCATTGACAAAATCAATATGTGGATGGTGGTTAATAGAAAACCTTGTCAATGTTTTCCCTTGATCTTTGATCAAAATTTGAGTCATTTAATCAAATTTTAAATCAATGGCTCCAAGTAAATTCTGAAGTTCAAGTTGCTTACCTTGTTCAGTAGCATATTGATCAAGCTCATTTAGGAGCTGGCCATGAATAATCTTCACAACTTCCTCCATTTTCATAACATCCAAACCTTCATCCATTCTAGAGGTTCACAGCTTTGAAACCACTGTGTTACATTGGTATTTCTTTTCGAGAGCAATTTTGAGTAGTAAATGGGATGACCCACTTTGAGGGAGGGCATTCTTGCCTCCAAATTCTCAGAAGGCTATGTTTGGATCAAAAATTTAGATAAGAATATGGAATGAGAAAAGAAAAGACGAGGAAAATGTAGAACAAATTTAACTTATATTTCATTCACATTGCCCTAACCTTTTCTTTCTCTTTCCAAATTTTTACCCAAATTAGATAAAAACTCTTGCCTATCTACTCTACTCTCATAGTACAAACAAGTAACATATATACACATACGCTTACACTTGCATACTGTTAACTGCATTACCCACTACTATCTACTTTTTTTATTTATTTTTAAGTAATTACATGGAGAGGGAGAAAATCGATATGGAAGAGGCATCAACAATGAGGCTTAGTTCAAACACCTCAATTAAAAGAGCTTAGATCTTGACAGGGTGTTAGCCACCATTGCTGTCAAATAGCAAACCAAATCGTGAATCATTTTTTCTAAAATAGGAAATTGTGAATTGCAATATTCACTCTATAATAGCATAATATATAACTATATATATATACATAAAAAGTACATTTAGTGTTTGAAATGACATAAATATTAATATAACTGAATCGCATTGAAGATTCACTCAAATTAAGATTCAGCTACACGAATCAAATCGTTTTGCTAAAAGCTCAATACAATCCTATCGAATTGTGAAACATAAGATTCTAACAACGATGTTTTGCCACCCAATACACTCATGAGTCATAGCATTCCTAATCCACTCCTAATAATACTGAAACTACCACAACATAACCTCATTCACTCAATCCCCAATACCACAAATTATTTATGCAAATATCAAATTGATACATACACTATACATGTGTGTATATATACGAGTATTACTATTCAGACCCAACAATTAGACCCACTTCATAATTGGTTGATAATTAAAAATCATTTTTCTTGACGGGTCTAGAAAGTGGGTCTAAAACGTGAACTGTATATCATTTTCCTACATATATATATATAGAGAGAGAGAGAGAGAGAGAAGGGGAATATCTTACGGCGCCTTCATCATCGGCGGAAAGGACGTGGGAGACAATCAAACCATGGAACGAGCGAGGACCGGGACTAAGGCCGGCAGCAATCATGTCGTAAATGACTTCGGAAACCCCAGAGACGTCGCGGTTTCTAGCGCGGCCCATGAGCTCCTCCATGAACACCAACCTCAGACCTTTCTCCGCCGTCGACGCCGTCATTGAGGCAGCGTCGTCATTCGGATGCTGCTGCTGCTGTTTCTTCCTCCTAGTCTTCCTTCCCGGAGACGATACCACTGATGCCAATACTATCACATTTCGGGAGGTCGAAAATGCGAACTGTGCAGGAGAAGAAGGGTAAGAGAAGCTCAGAGGCAGGGGTGAAGAAGTTAAAAGGTTCGCCATTTGTGAATTGCTATTGACTCTATTGTCGGAGAGAGTGTATCATCACTCTGAAGAACCCGTACACACGGAGAGAGAGAGAGAGAGAGCGCGGAGAGTGGATAGAGTAGAGGGTTTTAAGAAGTTAGGAGGGTTTGAAAATAGAAATTCTCCAAAACTGGCGTTGTTTCGGTAAATAAAATCTAGCAGGTTACGGGACTTTATAAATTAAAAAAAAAAAATTTAAGGTCTCTATTATTAAGATTTTACAATATAAATGACACTTAATATTTTTATAATGTTTAAGATCTCTCAAGTTGATTCAGAGAAAATTGATCCAAAGAAAATTAGTCCAGAGAAATTTCTCTTCAGAGAAATTCTAGAAATTTCTTTGGACTTCAGAATTTCTCTCAAGAGAAATTCTTGATTTATCTCCAGAGAAATTTTAAATTTATCTGACTTCGGAATGTGTTTTAACCAAATTTCTCTGACTTCAGAATTTATCAAATGTGTTTTAACCACATTTCTTTGACGATGTTGTTTCTCGTAATATCGAGATGAATCGATCTCATGGCAGCTATCTGTAGCCCATTCAGAGATGATTAACAAGGACAACATAGTGAAACAACATACTAAAGTTGCTGAAGAAGCTGTCTCAGGTTTGATGTTGATCTTTAATTAAGATATATAGAAGGAAAAGAAACTTATGCCCATTCTTTTTCTTTTTCTTTTTTTTGTAATAATATTTAAAATTTAGCTCACAGAACGTCTATTGGCAATAGAAAAAGAAACGAAGATGTTGAAAGAAACTTTGGCAAAGCGCAACAGTGAATTGCAAACTTCCAGGAGTATTTGCTAAGACAGTTAGCAAACTTCAAAGTTTAGAAAGTCTTCAAGCTTTGAATCAGCAGCAGCAGTCGAGCTTCGACCTCGATTCATAGGTGGCGGCGGCAGTGGTGGACGGTGGTTCTGGTGGTTCCAATGGCGGCAGCGGTGGTGGTTGGATGGACTGTGTGATGAAGCGACTGAGACTCTTTGGTGATGTTGGCACAGTGTTGATTTCAACTCCACCGCCATTGAATATATATATATATATATATTTTTGTGTATGTATTCTAGAGAGAGGGAGAGAGAAGTGGGAAGCTGAGATTTGATTTCAGTCAAATTTCTCCGTGATATATGGGTGTGGGAGTTGGGGGACCTTAGACATCATAAAATAATATTGTGGATCTCTTCCATTACTAAAAATAGGAGAGGGACCTTAGACTAATTTTTCAAAAAAAAAATCATTATAATTATCTTCAAATAATTTAATATTTTATTTTGCAGTATACATGAAATTTATAAGTTAACTTTTATGTTTATAACTTTTTAAATTATTAGTTTAAAAAAGTTAAAATATATATATATATATATATATAAATATATTTAGTGCAATTTTGATAATTTGTATTTAAAAAAGTTAAACCTGATTAAATGACATTAACAGAGTTATGACATACCTCTTCTTATTATGAAAATATACAAATTTAAAAGTTATAATTAAAACAAATATATAATTTTATTTTTAAATATGAAGTGAAGTGATATTTAATAATAATTAATATGATATTTCTATTATTAATTCAATAATTTAAGTTACATTTCTTTTGATTTTACTTTCATAACTAAAAATATAATATGAATATAATACACACAGATTTCTAGTCCTTATGAATAAGAAGGTTTCAAAATTTCATTATTTTCTTTTAATTTTTTTATCTATTTTGATTTTAAATTTGAATAAAATTTTTGATTTGATATGAATTATTTAAACTTTTCCATTAAATTTTTATCAATTTTTTAAAGAACTTTCATTCTTATCCCATTTTTTTTTTCTTTTCACCAATTTTAATGAAAAAACAATAATTTTCAACGTTTCATCTTTTTAAATTTTTATCAAATTATAATTTGATAAAAACATATATTATTAAGGGTTGAAGATTCTCTTAATTGAAATTATAGTAAAATAACATTTTGAAATAGTCAAAGTTTGAATATGCAGCTGGCTGAAATGCATAATTTAATTAATTCTCTTCTCATATTTGTATAAAAATTGACACTTATGACTACATCATTATAAGTTGGATTATGGGAAAAAATTTGAAGTGTCAACATTTTCCATTTGTAAATATCCTACATATTAAAAAATAAAAATAAAATGTGTAGCTTTTTGATATGTGTTTATCAGCTTTGTTTTATGGACATAAACAATTGATGTTTCAATTTAAAAAATTAAAAAGTAAAAAAAAAATAGATTGAGTTTTTTAGAGATAAAAAAAAAACCATCTAACTCTTTTATATACTATTAAGATGGATTATTTCAATTTAAAAAATTAAAAAGTAAAAAAAAAAAATAGATTGGGTTTTTTAGAGATAAAAGAAACTATCTAACTCTTCTATATACTATTAAGATGGACTATTTTAATTACATAAAAAAATATAAATTACATTTAGAGATTATCCCTATATATTATGCTATTATATACCACTATAGTAGTAACAAATTAACTATAATATATATGAAAAGTTATATTAAGCTTTCATTTTCAATTAATTGAATTATAATTAACAAACTAACAAATAGCAGTAATAGTTGTACGAGCACGAAATAATTCTTCCCGTATGATCCGGTTGATCAAGCTTGCGCTCCTTGAAACGTCGTTGCTTTGCCACCTGAAAACACAAACGTGAGCCAACCGACGGGTGTGTGCCGGAAACCCCTCCGATGCCTAAGTCAGCACAATAGACAATAGACACAAAAGCTCTGTGAATTCAGGAATCAAAGTTGTGTTACCTCTCCATAGGTGATGTTATGAGCTTTTATAGGTTCCGCATGGCACAATCTTAGTTGGACTTTTATTCCTCTATGTAGAGTCCTCCTAGGAATCACACTCCTGAAAGATAATGCTTATCTTTCAACACCCCTCTTACTGCTTAAACCAAGTGAGATAGTTATACCTCGGTAGTATGACAATGTAACCGAACTAACAATACCTCTGTCATACCCAAACCAGCACCTTCACATGCAACACATAGCACGGTCCTTGTTCACTGATACCTCGATTGAGTCCATTGAGACCAAGATAACTACAGCAAGTTCTAACCGTGCTAACCAAAGCAAGGTCCTTCCAAAGAAGCCATAATACCTCGGTTCCAAGCACCGTGGCCGAGCTAGCCACACCTCCGACTGGGGTAACCGAGCTAACTATAAGGCCCTTTTTGACCGAGCTAACTTACAAGGCCCTTTTACTCAGCCCTTTTAACCTCGGCCCACAGAACGGCCCATTACCGCGCCTTGGCCTAGCTTGTCCCTAGTGCATATAAAAACCCCCTCTCAATTGCCCCTTAATTCCATCTGCGCAGCATGATTGGGATTACTCGTTACCAGCCGAGCTAAAAACTCTCGCCTTTCAACCGAGCTATAATGCTGCCGAGCTACCGATTGGTACGGTTACAAAACGTCTCTTCAGTCGCTGTAACTGAATCGCTTCCCCTGCCATCGACACGTGGCAAACTCTCATTGGCCCAGCATAGCTGTCACGCCGTTTTCGTACTTCGAAATTTTTGAACAGTCCCGCATTTTCTTTATGTCTTAAAACAAAACCCTTATTTTTCGAATCAACGTTCCACTATTCATCTTCCCTCTCTCTCTTTCTGAGCCTCCATTTTCCCAAACTTTGTGCCTGTGAAGCTCGTGCTCTCTGCTAGTATTGTGTTCACCATCGATTCTTTCATTCTGAACTGGTACGTAGCTCTAATCTATTTCTCTTTTTGTTCATTTCGCACTTTTTTTGTAATACACAGTGTAGTATGTATGTTTTTTCAAAACACTTTGTAGTTTCCATGGGATATGGCTACTTTTGCCTAAGAACCATATAATAGATCCACCAGATTCACGAATAATCTGGGAAACAATACTTTTGATCCAAAATAATACTTCAACCGAACTAGGAAGTTGTTTGTATTAGGTGCAAACCTAGCCAAACTGAACAACCGAACTAAAACTTCATACCATACCCGTAGTTTCAATAAGTCCAAGTACCTTCTGTTTTATTTAGCCGTGCTAAGGAATTGCATTAGGCGTGCGCACTACCGAACTAAAAAACCTTACCCAAAGACCGGGCTATCACTTGGCCCCAAACTAACTCTCTCACTTAATAAAAACTGAACTAAGAATGCTGCATCATAGGCTTCAACCGGGCTACGAACTTCTCACTCCACTTATCCGAGCTAACGTCTTTCGCTCCCACCGAGCTAAGGATGGATAGTATCCCACGTAGCCGAGCTAGGACTCCATTTATTTTGCCTCTATTTTTTTTAGCACGGTCCAATGATCTGTGCTTAACACCTTTATTCTTCACTTTGCAGACTGACTTAGGTTGGCCAGGCACACCATTGTACGCTCAACCGAGATACCGAAGGTCATCTCATCGCCGAGCTAAATTATACATAACTTAAGGCTACATGGGGAAGTATCGATTTTTAGTGAACTCTCCAGGGGCCATAGCCGAGTTCCGAAAGGATTACCAAATTCTGGACGACGTCCACCTCTCATTAGCCGAACTAGATACCATTCCATGGGGAAAACCAGGCTTCGTCCTTTTCAACGTTATTTCCATCGTAGAGGCCGGTCTCCGTTTTCTCGTTCAGCCTCTTCTCTGTGAATTTCTCAGACGATCAAATCTCTACCCTACCCAGCTTTCAACAAACTCATACTGAATAATAAATGGCATTGCCAAGCTAAACCGCCGGCTTGGCCTCAACCTCGGTTTGGCCGAGCTATTTCACCAATACTCTTTAGGCCAAAATGAGGACGGATGGGTTTACTATTTAAGAATAAGGCGCCACCGTGAAAAGATAATAAAGAAAACCCCAGACAAAGATGTAAACGATGATGATTTTTTCTGGGTTTCTGGGAATTTTGAAGACCATGAGGCCCAGATCCCAGGCGACTGAATAAACTGGAACAAAGGAGTCACCGGTATAATTACCTCGGCTTAATTTCACGTTTTTCTTTACTTCGTTGTGTAGACGTCCCCCGAATGCCCCGGGAGGGAATCCTGTTCTGTTCGTTTATGGGCTCACTACAGTTCAGGACTCAAATTGTCACGGTTCTAAAT